AAAAAAAAAAGAAAAAGAAAAAGAAAAAGAAAGAAAGAAAGAAAGAAAGAAAGAAAGAAAGAAAGAAAGAAAGAAAGAAAGAAGAAAGAAAGAGAGAGAGAAAGAAAGAGAGAAAGAAAGAAAGAAAGAAAGAAAGAAAGAAAGAAAGAAAGAAAGAAAGAAAGAAAGAAAGAAAGAAAGAAAGAAGGAAAGTCAACAGAGAAACATCACACTGAAATGGAATGTCAGAATATAGGTAATTTTTCCTAACAAGAAATTTGTCATATATGGAAGATAACATACATCATGTTTTCTTTTTAAATTTATTTTTTATGTGAATGAGTGTTTTGAGCAATTTCTGTGCATCGTATGTACACCTGATATCATGTTGTCTTAAGGCCTGTCTTTCTAGGTACTATTTAACTTGAGATACAGAATTGCTTCCAATGTTCTCTAAGCAACTGGGTGGTTGTTCTTGTTGTATCCCTCTCCTGTAAATGCAGAAATTACTTTCTGAACTAAGGTTTATCTTCTTTTTTGCAACTTTTATTAATTTTTGGATCTTGCCTTCAAGCCTTTGCCATCCTTCCTAATAGTAGATTGCCACTATTCACCTAATGTATCCCACCACATTAAAGTGTTTTCCCAACATGTTGCAGTCAAGCTTACTTATGTATTTGGTTGTAAGTGTGGCCTTTAATGGCTGAGCCATCCCTTCAGCCCAGTCATGCTTATTTTATAGGAAGGATTTGAACTTCTCTAGTAAAAGAGGTGTAAACAAATCTAGCCAGTGGTTTTTCCCCTATTGTATTCCTGAGGTAGTTTTCAGTTTTATTTTTATTAATTAAATTTCCTGCTTGATAATTTCACATATTAGCATAATGCAGACTGTTCACCCTCCCCCCACCTCCCCCACAAACACCTACCTGTCTTGCTCCTTCCTCCTTGCAAATCTCTTTCTCACTGTCATGTCTGTTTGTTATGTTTCACGGCCCTCTGAATTTAACCCAAGCCATCTCTGTGACCGTGGGTTTGGAGCTGGTGGGCTCAGCAGGAGCTGCAAAACTGGAGACAATGCCCAGCCCCCAGGAAATAGCCAAAATAGCAGCAAACTGCCCCTCCCTCACTTCAGTGACTAATAAGACCGAAATGTTGTTTTATTCTGGTGGAAACATACTACAAATTATTTTTCAGAAGCATCTTACTATTTGCATCGACACCATCATACTTAGAGTGTCATTTTTCTTTTATTCTTGCTAACAGTGAAATTTAAAAAAAAAGACACTAAACAAGAACGGCTTGAGGTTTGAGTCTTTGAACTCCAGGAATATAGATGAGACATTGTTGAGCTTGGGCTCTTTGGAACTGCTACTGCCATAGCCAGGTGAATAGATCATAAAGCTTTGAAGAAGAATGGTTCTGACAGAAAAATGAAGGTTGCCACGGCCTAAAAGATCTTACAAATCGGTACCTAATACTCAGCAACTTGTTCTGGGGAAGGAGTTCATGGAAAGGGAGAAGGGTCTGACGCTCATATTTCAAGCCTTAATTCAGGAGCTTTTAGTTGGTTTTAGTTTTGATACACTCAGACAGCTCTAAATAGATCTACCATAGCTGAAGCTAACATTAATTAGATAACTGGTAGGGAAGAATGGGGGGTGGAACAAAGATGTGAAACCTAGTTTTAAAACTTGAGAATAAAGTAGCATGAAATAAAAACAGGAAATAAGGAAAAGAGGACGGGACAGGAGGAAGCATGTGGTATTCACAAAGTCCCTTCTACCTGCAGAAAACAGCCAACCTGACGAATGCCACCTGGGAGACAGATTGTCTCCCTCCCCTTGCAACGATAAAATCCACAGCTCAGCTCCTACAGCTCAAGACTAAGACTGCTGTTCTTCCAGTTCTTGAGCATGGTCTACTCATCTTCATTTTCTGCTACCCATCTCAAAGTATGGCTCTCTGTATGGCCAGAAGAAAAGGAAGCAAAGTCAAGGGCAGACTCATACATAGTTCTGCAGAAGTCTCACCCCTGTCAACTGCTTCTATTTCACTATCCAGATCTAGAATAATGACATAGTAAATAAGCAACAGAACTGGAATCACTTGGCTTCTCCAGACAGACCAATCACAAGGAAGTGGGCATGGTGAAGGCCCTCTTGGGTGGAATTGGAGATTCCCAACTGTGTCTGCATTTTCCTATGTAATTTACATAATGCTTTGTGTCTTAAACTGGAAAGCATTCTATTATTACAATATAGTTGCAGTCCTCTACTGAATTCTTGATAGCAGGCAACAAAAAGAAAAATTACAAGTTATTTCCGTCATCTTTTTAAGGACATTAATTCATACCTATATTTTAAAATATTTTGTGGTGTTTATTAGTATACATCTTTCACACAGTATGTTTAATAAATTATTAAAGTCTACAAAACCATAGTGCAGTCAATTTTGAATTAATTCACGTATGATTTACTGAAGACAAACTATGAAGAGTGCTTTTGCTTCATCAATTTTCACAGTCTGGTTTGGTTCATCTTTCCACACCACTGATTAACATGCCTTTGAAAGAACAAATACTATTTTTTTTTAAAGGTGGATAAGCAAGTCTTAATTAGAAAGGTAAATGTGTGTCTTCTAAAATATTAACTACATTTTCATTTCAGATTCAGATATTCGTAAAGCAACGGTGTATGAACTAGTGCCTGGGAGCCAGAAGGTGTCAAACCAAGTCCAGATGTCGCTGCTTGATTGTGACACCTTTGACACAGTTCATGTTGGTGTCACTTGACTTGCAGGTACAACTGGGTTACACTTCTGCAAGGATGGGAAAACCTAGTGAACTCTTACATATCTTCATCTACAAGACTAAGCCGTAAGCATCCAACATGCCAGTCTTCAAAACTGCCATTTTGAGAGGCAAATGAAAATCATCTTTCAAAGACCCACCATGTTGTACATGCCCCGGAAACTATTTTCTTTTCTTTCTTTCTTTTTCCTTCTTTCTTTCTTTCTTTCTTTCTTTCTTTCTTTCTTTCTTTCTTTCTTTCTTTCTTTCTTTCTTTCTTTCTTTCTTTCTTTCTTTCT